AGACTGGACTGATACAAATTTTATGACTTCAAAAGTTACTCTAAAAATTTTTTTACCTCTTATTCGTTATTTCAACTCTCTGGTGAAGTTATTGCAAATTTTATAATGTCATATCCTCAAAATTCTTGAGAAAAAACTTTTGGATTGATTTGACTAAAATATTTATGGTACTTAATTATCAAGTATTTTCAATAATTTATCACCTAGAATGATTTTAAAAAAAAACAATTAATTGGAAATCTGAGAACAGAATCAAGAAAATGTTTTAGGGAAGGCGAATTTCTCAAAGCATTGGAATTTATGAAGAAATTCTCAAGGACAGCTATAACAAAATTGAAAATCAAAAAACTCGCTTCATCTTGGGATCTCACTCGACAATGTGAACCAGAAAAATAATGAATTAATGGATCAGAAGAAGTAAAGGCATTAGCAGATGTTTTTGCAAGAACACCACTTTTACTCTTTAGATCTTTCTTAGAATAGACTTGGATCAGAAGGAGGAAAGGCATTAGCAGATATGCTTTGCAAGAACACTACACTGACTTATTTGAGTCTTGGATATAGTGGTATTACTTCTAGTTTAATTGCTGGTAATAATCCTGGGTCAGAAGGGAAAAAGCATTTGCTGATGCACTTTGTAAGAACGCCACGCTTACTGTTTTAGATCTCTCTTCGAATAATCTTGGATCAGAAGAAGGGGAAGCATTAGCTGATGCACTTTAGACCTTGGTAAAAATAATCTTGAATCGCAAAGAGGGAAAGCATTAGCTGATCGACTTTGCAAAAATCCTGCGCTAACTTCAAGATAATAATCTTGGATTCGAAGGAGGACAATCATTAGCTAATGGACTTTGCAAGAATACCACGCTGACTTTTTTGGATGTTAGTTATAATAATCTCAGATCTAGGGGAGGAAAAGCATTATCAGTTGCACTTTGCAAGAACAATAAACTGGAACTATTAAAATAGTTCAATATATAAACGGCAACTAATTATGTAATTCATTAACTAAATAAAGTACGTCAACTGACACCCTTTTTGAAAGGGCTCAAAAAAAAAACAAATGACTCAATAGAATGTAAACGTAAATTATGCAATTAATATAAATGCAATAAAGTAAATGTATCTATACTATGCTGCTCCAAGTCACTTTTCATCAAAAATCATGTATTTTTTAAAAAATCTTAAAACCTTAAGTTTTAAATATTTTTTAAAAATGTAACCGATAAAAACTATTGTTTTTCATTAGTTCTATCCAAATTATCGGTTAGAATTTTTAAAAAATTTAAGATTTAAAGTTATAATTGTTTAAAGTAGTGATGGGGAAAATGTGCATTAATGCGCACGAAATGTTTCATGCGCATGATATCGCATGATAAAAAAAAGGCAAAAAAGAAAAAATGATCGAGAGGAGAGAAATCCTGATGGGATAAAATGCGCATAAAACCCATCTCTAGTTTAAAGCTACTATATCTTCAAAATTGGCATTTAAACAAAAATTAAAAAAAAATTTTTTTATCCAATCAGAATTAGTATGTAACTATTTTGATTGACTAAAAAGTATTTGTATATACTGTACCTCAAATTTGGCGCATTTGATGCGAAGTGTCTTGGAGCACCGTATTATTTTTCTGCCAATAAATATGTGTTCACTTTAATATTTATCATTAGCAATACTACAAAATTTCCTGTTATTTGTATTATGTAAATTTAATTTTGCATACAATTTCGGTAATTGAATTTACAACAATTGGTACATTTGCGATTGTTTTGACCATAATCATATTTTATGATCGAATTCTATGAGATCTCTCAGTTATAGTTATCACTGTTCAAATTTATAAAGAAGGTCAATAGTTTTCTTGGTAGCTATTTCACTGATAATTATTGTCATATTCTCAATTATTTCTAGCATTTCCGTTCCTTTTAACAGTCAATTACCCGGTATTTTATTTTCCAACGCTTATTTCTATTTGTCTGACATTTATTAAGCCGTTCAAGTTGATGAATGCTTACTGTTTAGCTTCATTTGCTCGTGTTATTTATTCTATGAGGCAAAAACATTCATTAATATGGGCTAGGTTCTGCATAAAAGGAGTTAATGGCCAAATTTTTTTTTTACGTAAATTACTTAGAATAAAATTAAGATCAATTTTCATTTAAGACACGAAAATAGTTGTATTATTACGGTTTGCAAAATTATGTGAAATTTGAAGAACATTAAAAAAAAATAATCACTATATTCCTATTTCCTCAGCATCTTTTCTTGGCTTTTTGATTACTGTAGACAAAATTTGCGCATCTATTATTTTGTAAAAATTTTATTATTTTTTATAAAAATAAAAGTTGCATATTCATCATTTTGTAATATATTTGCAGAAATAGGAGTTGCACATTGAAATATTCAATAAAATTTTTATAAATCATAAATGCTTAAATTTTGTCTAGTTTACGTAAAATTCAAAAAAAACGCTGAAGAAATTGGAAATCAGTAATCGGAAATTTAGTGATTACTTTTTTCATAATTTTGCAAACTACAATAATGTAATTTTGCAGTGAAGATCATTAAGTCTTATGATTTATTATAAAATTTATAAAGATCTATTTTTTGTCAATTTCCTCTTTTATACAGCATTCAGCCCATATATTCAAAAATAAATTATCCTTAAGCACCCTCTTAGATGCAATTTTGTAGTGATTTAAATAGTGCACAAGTTTTATGACATAATTGCATAATATTTTAGATAAAAGTCAAAGCGAGTGACAACTTTATTGAGATGTGCACAATTATTATGACATGTAATTAAGCTATACTTGTTGTAATATAGCAAGCGAGTTAAATTCGGCTTACGTTTGAATAATGAGCATAGGAGATGTTAAGAAAATCATGCCAAATATCATGAAAGTGAACCATATTCCTATATGATTATTCCTACCAATATAAAAAAATAATAGTGATAATAATTACTATTACTGTAATTTGCTAATAATTGTAGTGACGCATAATTGTTACAATAGATCGAAATAACACAGCTTGAATAATTCTCAATGGTTAGAAGCAAAGCAAAATAACAGCAATACGTTAGCGTATTGATAACAAAGTTTATAAAAAATATGCAAACAATTAAATGTTAACTCTATCTCTTTAATAGTTATAAAGTTTTAATAAGACTGTGCACAAAAAAAAATTAGTAAAATCTAAACTGCTGGTCATTTAGATTAAATAAATCACATGTCCTTTGCTAAATTAGAAACACGTTTGATCAGTTAAAAATACTTTTAGCGAATCAAAATTTAATCCATTACGCACTTCTGATAAATTTTAATGCATTGATACTTATTATTTAATTAATTTTTTTTATTCGTGTTAATTAGTCAGTAAGGCCGCTTGCAATTGAATTTTCGGGTAACATCACTTTTAGAACTCTTGAGAGGGGGAGGGGGAAATAAAATGAAACGTATATATAGAATGAACAAATATGAAACAATTTGATTGGTCGATGTAAATCAAGAGATTGGTGGAGTTATCCAACGTTTTGATTGGAAGCTCATTTCTCAGGGTTGGAAGGGGGGTGAACGGCCTATATATGCAATAAATTAAATTGTGAAAATTAAAAATATAAAATGTACACATAGCAATAAATATAACAAAAATAAAAGCATGGCATTAGACACGACAATTCTAGGATGAGCAAGAAGAAATAAGAATAGTGATGATTGCGTGACTTTTAACCGCCTGGTATTTATGCATTATTAAATGCTTTATCTAATAAACTGAGCAATATTAAAAAAAAAAAGAGATTTGACTTTATGATTATATAAACTACCCACAACAAATTTATTATGCTGTCAGCAATACAGAAAAATAGCAAACCTAGAAACATACAAATAGAAATTATATAAAAATATTCCCAAGATTCTTAGCAAACTCTTGAATACTGATTTATTTTTACGGATGTTTCGACTTTGGAATAAAGAAATTAGACTGCACTAACACTAATAACAATTTTGGAAAATTCTAGAGATTACCTTATTGTTGCTTTCATTATGCATTAGTCTTCTGAAAGCGATTTTTATTGGCTTTTCAATAATGCTATATATTGGAATTCCTTCTATGTCAAGGATTTTTTTACCGTTATGCCTAAAATAAAAACTAATTACTTGATATGACATGCCTCAAAGATAGTCATAAAAGAATAGTGATTTTAGTAATTCAAGTAATACACAATCTCAATACCTAGGTAATACCCTACATAGTAGAGCACGTAGATTTAGTTACAGATCCTTTCAAAAAGATGTGGAATGCAATTTCCATATACCCATGTGGGTAATCAAAGAATGTGGAAATTCTGCTTAGTAAAAATTAAAAATCCGAGAAATACCTTGAATTCTTCATCTGTTCCGTTCCACAAAATTTTGAAAACGGCTGTAAATAACATATTAAAATTTATTTACAGATTTAGTAACATAAAAATAAATTAGTTGAGTAACATGCGTATCTTTTTTAATTGGATACAAGTGAGGTGGGCCGGCAGCCCCTTATTGACTACTTGTGCTAATTTTCGTCAAGTTCTTTTAATATATGTCAGATGGGTTACATCTCCCTGACGTGTCATTTACTCGACAACAAATTGGGTAACAATTTATTAGCAATATGTACCAACAACTAATAAAGTATCAAATTGTCACCCTTTGTGATGTTGAGTAAATGAAATGTCAAGAAATAGTTTTCAAGAAAATGAACATATACATCGTCATATTTTATGAAACTTATTTATCGTTAAAAGGGAAATATATGAATAATTAAAATGAGTCCACAAAATAGAGGCGAAGTTGAAGTGACTACAACATTGTCGATCCAACTAAATACAAAAAACTTCTTATAGTTACCAAAAAAGCTATATAAGACAAATTAATAATCTTTATTTCAAAGCATAAGCAAATTCTGAAATAGGCAAAACAAAAAAAAAAAATCTTGCAATGCAACTAATTTTTTAGGTTTAGTTTTTTTGCACGACAAAAGTCTCTAACTCCTTAACAGCAAAATTATTGACATTTAAAATCTTCTTATCGTATTGACCTTGTATACAAGTCCCATTCTGACCATTTAATACCAAATCACTGTTTCCAAAATTCATCCAATGTCCACTATGATTACAAATTGCCGCTGAAGAATTTTTCACACGGCTAAGTGTATGAGTATTAGGACCTTTAATATCTTCAAAACAAAAAATAAAGCTACAAAAATTTATATTCGGAGAAAAAAATTTATATATACAATCAATAAAATCAAGAATCATTGTAAATAATAACTCACCTGTCATTAGTCACTTCCCAGTATTGCGAATGATAACTTCTATTATAGTTGTTTCTCAAACCTAGAGGGTTATATCCACCAATTATCTTTTCTGAATCAGAGATCTTAATTAAAACAAGAATCGCGCCGCTACAATTATTTGCGATAAATTTATTGTAATCAAATCCGTCGCGTGTTGCACGATAAGTAAGGTTGAATTTATAATGAGGTTTTCTAGCAAACTTTGTTCTTTTTTCGATCCAATTAATAATGTTTGCAGCTTTGTCTCTTTCAATTATAACAGAATCGATATTAATAGATCCACAACGCGAAGGCAATTTTGAAAATTTGGGATTTACATTGGCCATGAGATATGCTACTAAATCTTCATAAAGATTTTCTGGAATCACTTTTTTATAAGGTCTTACATGATAATAAAAATCATCCCGAGATATTTCATGAAATCGAATATATGGTATGAACGGATCTAAAGACTTTTTGAGCGATGCAAAATCATTATCTCCCCAATTAGTGATATCCATCTTAGATTTTCCATTAGGAGCAGATTGAGCTGTTCCCCATTTTACTAAATATTTCCAAGTATCAATTTCGTCAAAATCTAAATCATTGCTCATAACAAGTTTCAAAAAAATATCTTTGTCCAGAGTTGAAAATTCCTTTAACTCAAAGAATGATTTTGGATCCGCACAGATAGTTTGTATAATGTGATCTTGTAATATCTTGCAACTTTGAAGTTTAAAAACTGTGTGCAAAGCGACAACAGAATGTTTTTGCAACCAGGATGATTCTTTATTAATGAGCTAATTAAATTTTTTTTATTTTAATAGTTATCTTTATAAAAATTATTAACCTTAGGTATACTCATTGAAATAATTAATCTTACATGATTTTGGACATAATCCACCAATTTATTAAGAATTAATTCGTCGGATGCTACAAGAAGTGCAAGAATGTTGAAACTTGATTGATCAGTTAGATCAAGAACTCCCGTATAGATATATCTTATAAAATTAATGCAAAAAAAATGAATAAATTAATAAACAAGAAATTATATAATATAAATAATTTATATTAATTTAACATACTGAAGAATTAAAAGAAATACAGCTGGGACGATATTTGGCTTTTTAAAAACAATAACACCATCATTGCGAGTTGCCCATCTACTAGATAAAGCAGTTTTGAAATAAGGTGACCTAGCACGTAAAATATTTGAATGTACGTTAAATTCTTTGAAGTTTAATTTTTCTCCGGCTTGAATAATAACATCATAATCATCTGATTTATCAAGAAGTTGTGAAAAATCTTTTGAAAGATCCTCAAAGAATTTTGCAACAGCCATAATTATCAATTGAAAATAAGATTGAGAAAGACATTAATTTATTATAGCTCAATTACTTAAGTTTGTTCCAACATGCATACGATAAATTAAAATCACGTAATTGACGCAAGGTACGTACAAATATAAACTTTAAGCTCATGAATATCTACGTATTAAACTTAATATATTATTTGTTTAGTTTATTTTATTCATATTTCATATGTGATATTATAAGAATATAATGTATGATTATGTATTTCCTTAAGTCGGATGCAATCCGACGCAACTCAGATGCCGATTTTCAGGCGTACACTTATTTTTGCAAGTGATAAAGAAAGAACTTGCCCAGCAAGTCTCCTTTTGCGTTCTTGCTAAATTTATTGGACTGCATCTTAACTCTAACCCTAATCTCACACACAATTAGCGAAAATAACAACAAATAAATATTTAATATTGGCATGTGATTTATATCTAGTGATGTGCTGATACTCGGAATTTTTTAGCGTACAGTATGTATAGTACGTATTCATAGGCAGAAGTTGGTCTGATTGGCTAATAAATTCAATTTAATTTTACATTATTTATACAGTTTAGAGTACTTTTTAAAAAAACGAAAACC